CATTGACCTTGTCTGTTCTTCAGGCTTTAATGATTTTACTGGCATTCTTTAATCGGAGCTTCTGGAAGAAAAAACAAGAGCAACATTGTCTTCACTTTTACTGAACCTAAAGACAAGACAGACCAACCATTTATGTGCTTGTTTTTCTTCCTAGAGAATAAAACATGATGAATAGAGAACAGTTAATTCTGAAATTACAAATTCGCCTGATTAAATCATATGATTTACCCAGCATGCATATACTGTACATATTAAGTTGGTAGGTGATAAGAGTGCTCCATGGTACAAACACTCAAATTTATGTATACTCTAAATGAGAAAGTGCTCGGTAACATCTTCCTTCACAAGGCTGCACAGTTGTCTTAGTAATAGGCATGTATTAGGAGTTTTAAAATTGCTTGTGGATGTGCATCTAAATATACATAAAGGCAATTAAATCGTGATGTTTGTATTGAAAAAAACTGCAATAGACGAGTCACCAGACAAAAGAAAGCACTTTGTCAATGGCAACAATAGAGGAAATGCACCAAAAATAATCACTTGCTCTAACACATAAATAAATAAACCAGAAATTGCAATTTCAAAAGAAACTGTGGAGGAACTGCTGCCTGCTGAAAACATGCATGAGCCAGACTCCATTGCTGGCTGCTGTAAGAGCTCAAGCTTAGTCGACCTCCTGCTTAAGGTGGAAATATCTGTTCATTGAACTGCATTAGTGTATTACTTTGTATGAAGGAGCATGTTAAAAAATGTAAATATTAAGAAATGTCAGAAAGATCTCAAGGATGCAATATATTAACAGGCAATGAAAGGAAGCTGTTGTGTACAGTGTTACATGATTAATTGTACAGCGAAGGTGGTAAAGTATTTTTGGCTCACAGAGAACCTTGTACGTGTTTTTGACTAGTGTCAGATTTTTTTTAAACAAGACAAGTTGTCTACAACTATTGAAAAAAAATTACTGCATGGCTGTCCAGTGAAAAGTGTGGCTGAGGCTAAGTTAGAGATAAATGTTTTAGTCAAGTTGGACAACTTCTCACACTCTAGCCGACAGGGGTGTGTACAGGCAACAAACTGGCAATAAGATTCATATCATGAATATACTGCAATATACTGCAATGATGTAAACAAGGTGATATATAGCGATTTTAAAAAATGTAATTTTAGAAAAACTATGTTTTGAAGAAAATTAAAAAACTGAAGCAGATAACTGCTCGACTGCACACAAATTACCTTAATGTCTAAGTAAAGTTCACATCTGCTAATAAGTATTAAATATCATTATATGATTTTACGACTGTACTGTTTTTAACAATGCTTTCTAGCTCAGTGTGGTATAAAATAGAAGAATGTGGGTGGTAACAGGGTCGTGTTACCAAAACTGGATTAGACCTTTACAACATTTCAGTCTGCAATTATGCATAGTAAAATAAGATTGATCAGACATTAACTTAATTGGTACCTAAAATTAATTCATGACAGTGTTCATAAATGCTGCTATCATTATGCTATGTGCAGTAGCAAATTTAGGAAAAACTGGCAAACTTATTAACCAGTGTAACTGCACTTTACACATTTACACATTTTTAACAGGCCCTAAATTTCATTTGGATTTTAAAAAACAGTCTGAGCTGCTAAAAGTAATGTTCATCAAAACATAGTTCTTTTGCTAATATTTCATACAGAGTTATTTTCTGCTCATATTTCACTGAAGCCATGTGTCCACACTGTATTGATTAAAAAAAAGCATGCCCTTTCCCCTTGACTACGTCCTGTCTGGAACACCCACAGATCACCGCCCCTGCCTCACATGAATTTTAATTAAAACTGACCTTGTTATGCAGTAGGTAGTCTTCAGTAATGGCTGAATCCAAAGAGAGAGGAAGACTGTCCTAAGGGAACATCTTTATGTGCTGGATGCACAATCTGTTCCCAGGCAAGTTTATAGCCATGCTGATTTCTGATCTGATAGGTAATTTAGGCTTTTTTAAAAGGAAAAAAAGAGTTATCTTTAATAATTAAGCATCATTTTACTGGAACGTTTTATAGCTGAATCAGTAAAATAAAATGGTAATGACCGAACTGCTTTTGATTCCAACGACTTTCTTCTGGCTGTATTGTTGAGATGTAAAATGCATTGTGGTCAAAGCAGTAAACAAGCTATTAGTTGGGCTGATTTAGTCAAGCATGTACTATTGTTATATAACTGCAGATAAACTTGGCAGTGACCCATTTCATATTAGCAAATATTTTGGAAGGTAGTAATAAATAACTACATTAAAATAAGTACTTTTTGTAATGATACAGGGCCTTTGTCACTGAACCATATCTATGGGCATGATAACACCTGATAACAACAATTGAAAAGTATGACAACATCAGAAATGTCTGAACTAGACAAAAAAACTGAATTATCAGCGATGCAATTATCAATAACTACAGATCACATCTCATCAAAATATTTATATAATAGCTGTAAAAGTCACACACATCTTAAAGGTACATTGTGTAAGATTGTGACATCTAGTGGCAAGGTCGCAGATTTCAACATTCAGCAAATCTCTCATAAACCGTATTAAACAGTTCTTACAGCGATTACCATAAAGGTAGGACAAATTGCACGCTCTGAAAATAAGTACAGCGACTCACTTGACCACAGTGGGTTTCTCAGCACTGGCCATGTTGTAGCTAAAGCTATCAAATAAAAATTTGCATTTAGGATTAATTTTACTGTCCAGTTTCTTCACGTCTTTGCTTCTTAGACGCTGTCTTCATTTTTCTGGTGTTCAAGTATAACCATGATCATCCATTTGTTCAAGTTATAGTTATTAAACTCACGACAATGCATCCTCTTGTTTCTAACATCACTTCTTCTTCGTCTTTCAAGAATCTCAATATCCAAGCTCCTACTTCAGTGTGAAAATGTAATATTCATGCTCTAGAGCCAATATGTGGTTTGTCCATTCTGGGCTACTGTAAAAACATGGCAGCTCAACATGGCGGCCTCTATGATAAGGGACCTACTCCTACGTAGATATAAAGGCTCATTCTAAACTAAAGAAAACACAATGATTCTTATTTTCTGCTGATTACACATTACTGAAAAGATAATTATGCCTACTATAGACGGTTTCTGCTAATAAATCCTTCCAGATACATACTGCACTTTTTAAATTTCTATAAGAAATAGAGATAAGCCATTTTAAATTGTGAGAAAAGCGCTGAAAACAAAAAACTGTCAATAACCTAGCGATGGCAAGGTGGCAATCCAATTTCCCACTGGAGAGTTGAAAGTCTGAATCAGCCAATCAAGGCAGGGAAATCATGATTTCTTATGGAAAATATCCGGGCCTGATTGCACTTATCAGTGAGGTATATTAATTGTCCAACTTCCAACCATTGTAGATGGTTGTTTGATTACATTTGAATCCCCCACATCACTGTCTGTCTTTAAGTTAACCCCTCCTCTGACAATCAACAATCAGAAATTACATGCTTGGGCGACAGGATTTACACAAGTTTGTTCATATGACATTTACCAACCCAGAAAGCAAAACAATACACTTTTTTACTGTTAACTATTCTGTATTGTAGTGTATTTTAAATATGAACCCCACCAAGGTTGCCGCCATGGTCACAACTAATGGCTTCCAAATAAACACCAAAGACTTTTCAAACTGTTGCTGGTTTGATTAATAAATAACAAAAGGTCTTCTTTTTAAACAAACCTGGTTTGATTGGGAACTCATTCTAACCATTCCAGTCAACAGGCAACTAAGCACTGTGCTGGAAAAAAATGCTCCACCAGAAACCAAAGTGAGAACAAAAAAAAAAATGTTGAATGTAAAACAACATGTACTAGCAGGGGAGGTTATCATGCATAAGTGGTTTCTGACTTCATCTTGAGAGTGTACAGTGCATTACAAGCTTTATTTACCGTTACATGAAAGGAGGCCAAAAGCTTGCAAAGGATCTGGAGAATCTGGTAAATAATTCAGCAATGCTCCAGTGTTCTACAGGGAGTAAAGGTTTTCCAAACACATGCAAAGGCCAATAAATGGCCTCCAATGACTATGTTCCTTTGTGATCTTCCTTAAAATAAATCTATTAAAATCGACTTTGTAGAGGCATATCAACATAGGTTTCAGCTTTTCTTATGTCCCTAGTTTAAACATGCTGCAGTCACTGTAAATATATGGAGTGGGGCAAAAAGAGTTACCGTACTTAATGGTACAAAAAAAGTAGCAGATTTGAAATGGTGCAGAAATTATTGAAACAAGATCACTTGCTTACCTAAAAATGGTAATCCTCCCTCTAGCTCAGCACATGTGTAGGTATGTTAGTAATTTTAATGTCTCATAAACCCTTCTTATTTCACTGTAACAGTTTTGATTAAAAATCCAGTTTAATTGTATGTGATGATCAGTGAAACAAGAAAAGCGTGGTGTGAACTGTTTTTTCTCTCCCATCCCTGCTCCTTAAATAGTTCCTGAGGGTTTTTTTGCAAGATGCCTTTATTTACTGGCCTCAGTCGATTAACTGGCTTCTCTTTGAATAATTAATTTCATAAAATGACAAAGTTGATATAGCTCAAAATATGAGCATATATACATCTAAATATATAAACAGCAAGACAACTATTCAGTCCATGTAAACAATGGCTGGCAGCCTCAGTCAAGTGCATAATTAGTTGAATTAGATTAAATAACCAATTACGAGACTAACAAAGTAAATAAGCCTGCCGGGATTCCACCAAATGCTTGAGAATAGAATTAAAGTGGAATTAGTGCAGTGACAAGCTGAATGACAGCATGGACAGATAAACTATTATATTACTGTCACAAAAAGAGAGCTAGATGCCATCAAGGGATGAAATAGACTAAATAAAGAGTGAGAATGATTTGAAAAGAAATAAAAATAAATGAATGAAATGCAGGTTCAAATTTACAATCATTTATAGGTATAATTTGGCAGTAAAGAACTTTGGCATAAAGACATACCTTTACTGGCACTCTCAACATGCTCCAGTTCATCTGGAAACCTCAGGATCTCTGGGTAATTCTCTTCACACTTCTCCGCCAGGAAATGAAGTAGTGTTGTATTCTGACAGATGGATTTAGTGTCTCGGATCTAAAAAGAAGAAAAGAAAATCACTGATACAGTACCTCAAAAGGCTAATTCATTTTCAAAAACAGCTACTATGGTTGTGATGTAAACACATTATGTCTCCAGAATAGCAGATATTCCTTTTAAATGTTATGTGAGTACTGGCGTTCTCTCTGCACAGTTTGGCCTGCAAGACTTTACTGACTTTTCCTCCGTCATCCGTTAAACAGCCAAGAAATACAGTGTCACCAAATATCCTGAAAGATGATGAGGCCATGTGACAGGCTTTAAAAATGTTAGAGACCAGCGTGTCCCAGTAGCCTAATGATTAAATGCCATACCAGATAACCACAATGTCCAAAGTTAGACTCACAGCCAGGGAACCTTAGTTGTAAGTCATATGAGGAGTATGAATCTGCTCCAGGTTTCCAGTTTTAAAATAAATTTTAAAAATGCTAATTATAATACTGTTACCATCACTTTTTCCACCATCATTTGGTATGTTTGATTGGTGTGTTCAATAAGGACATGAAAGATCATGACTGAGTTTTATCAGCTCATAAATAGTGTTTGTTGTTATCTGTGACTCGGTGAAGATCAGATCACATTTCATGACCAATTTATGCAGAAAACCATGAAATTGCAAACAGTGTCATTACTTTTTCTCGCGACTGTATAAATGAATATGAATAAACTAAAACCACTCCCATGACACTAAAACAACACTGAGGCAGGAAAGTTTGGAACAAACTACTGTACTGTGTTTGCCAAGAGTGTTTGTGTGTGCATGCATGTTCATACACAGAAGCTGTGGTCTCCACATCAGTGCATAGGAAACTTGCTCTATATTCATTCCCAGCCGTGATTGCATGCTGTTTGAATGGCTTGCTGAGAAAGCTAATTAGCACAACCCACCTCTTTGTACTCATAGTGATAATATCCACGCTGTAAACAGCCCGCAGTTGGACATGCCCACACATGTGCACATGCAAACATGTGTGCACATCCTCACTCACATACGCATGCATGCACGCGCACACAATTACAGGCTGTCAGAGTCATACTCTGACTCATCAACACAACAACGCTCACACACATATACACATACTTTCATTAGCCAAGGATCAAGCATTTGCTCATGTTCGGTAATCACAACTGTATTCCATAGATTTTAAATTTGAATTTGTTTATTCTTATACCCCAAACTGTGTTTACCACACATAAATACATACACCTCAGGTATGTTGATTTCATATGCTATCTAATATTAGTAAGGCATAATACATAGAGGTTGGGTAAATTCTGTCCACTCCATGACTAAATTATTAACATATTTCATCAGAGCAGTGTCTTTAACCTGAGCTAATCTAGTGCCCATGCAGGGGAGAAGAATGGGCACACTGTGGGGTTTTATTGGGTGCAGAGGGCGTAAATGGAGGAACCATGTGGTTTCAGGTAATATGAGAGTCATTAAAATTATCTGATGAAACTGGAAGCATATTAGCATTGTGAGGTGAATATCATTGACATAATAAGACTGGACCAAGTCCACAGAGCATGCATATCCACAAATTCATAAGCAGACCATTTTAATGGCTCAACCCACACTTGTCTCTTTAATGCATTATGTGCAACTCTAATGACATAATTTGTACTGTATAATTGATTAAAAATGCTAAAGATATATAAAACATTATCATTTTAAGAAAGTTTTGGGATTTCATCTCTTTTTTTATTTTAAAAGTTTTTTTTTTTTTTTTTTTTTTTAATCGAGCTGTAAGCACACATCTGGATAGGTAAAGCATTTTGTAAACCTGCACATTGTATTCCTGGAAACATTGCCTGATCTGTCCTCATCACAGGAGGGACTATTTTACTATAAGCTGAACTGAACAGTGCCTTCGAGCAGAAAATATAACTTTAGGGAGGGAAACAAATTTACTGTATTTTAAGTAGAGTATGCTGAAATAAAAAGAGATACTGGTAGTGGTAGCACATTCTGCAAAAGGGCCTCCATCAGGGCAGAGGGAATCCACATTACAGCCCTAGGTGATGATGTTATTTTCACACAGTTTTGCTTAAGCACTTTAGTCAATCCAGCTTTAAGGTTTCATAAGAACTGTGCCAGGGGCTGTGAGGTATTTGTGTACAGGTTGCACTGGGCTGGTTAATACAGGGTAATTTTTAATCCTTGCCCATACCTTGTCATGGCCATTTCAAAGTGCGCACTAACAGCTAAAATTGAAAAGGCTCTTACTGTCAGTTTTTCGAAATGCTCTCCTCGAAGAGCTTAGGGTACTGTAAGTTTTACCTCAAATCTTTTCTTTAAAACTACCTACAGTAAATAAAAAGCACTTTTTATAGCTGCCATTTTGTACTCAGGCTACTTAAAATGTGCCTCATCCCATTACGTTTTAATGGTGCCACTGGATACAGTGTGTATAAAGCTACTCCTTCAAAACAAATATCTTCATCTGAAGCAAAAGGAAAAACAGTGATTCATTACTGTGGTGCTGAAAGCTAATTATGAACAGTGATATCATTCCATCTTTCATAACATAAATTGCCTTGAGGTGATATTATTCTAAATCCCTCACTAGTTAGTACAAAACATTCCAACACACTGAGCATTTAGAGTGACATGTGTTATTACAAGCCACAAGCTTCCACATGAATCTCTATGTAGAAAATAAATAAATAACAATAATTAAATAATAACATAAGAACTCTGACGATGGGACTATAGAACTCTCACACTAACAGAAGGATTGTCGGCCAGTGATAGCTCAATTTCACTTCTGCATATGGAGCTGCAGCGCAGGACAAACACTATACACTTTCACATATAATTACATGTTATACTGTGTAAGATGAAGCAATGTAGTATATAAATAAGAAAGGGCACAAGGCCATTTAATACTGAGGGAGAATGAATTCTCTGAATAAAAGAAAGTGTGTGTCATGCCCAATAAAAACATGTGCTGTGGACACAAATTGCACAGTAACACTGGTAACTGTAACAGTAATTTCAGCTGTTGAACATTTTATATTTTGAAAGTAGGACACGAGGTCACACTGGTGTCGAGCAGATGACTCCCTTTTGCCAAGTCAAGTGCCTAATAGATACCCTGTTCTACTTAAAATGAACACACATCTTTGCCATGTGGTCTTTAATTATTAAGCAGAGCCTGTGAAAGTGTTTTTCCCTCAGCATGAAAAGAATGAGGCCCAAGAGAAACAATATTTCTTTGTTTTGAGTCATACAGCAGATGGTCTTATCCATATATATTACATTATTAAAACCGTCTCCTAATTATCATGCTTATTTCGATGCTTTTAAGGGCTTCCTTACAGTGCAGATGAGCTTTGCAAAGCCATAGTAAAAGGCTTTGTGTAATGCCATGCCACTTGAAACATGAGAACTAACATTTATCTGTAAAGTCATGAGTGACCAACATGTATTTTGCTCACATATTTTTCATACTAAACTATAAGAATTTCACAGTTGTCTTTGTAATGCCAGGGCTGTCGTTCAGTTTGCTGAATACATGTGAAAGGGCTGGCACCCAGGAGATCCCTCTGTCCTTGAGGTGGGTACCTCTGTGCCCTTCCCATTGCTGCTCATTCCCATCATCACACTCCTCCTCCCTGATGAAGCCATTAGGTACCCTAGACCTGCCACCCAGGGCACCATTTACTTGATTGACTAAAGTGCGAAAGCACACTTTTTTCTTGTCCGTCAATAATGGCCCAATCAGCCCCCTGAGGTGTTACCAGGCTCTACACTGACACTGCATTCTGATTCAGACAGCTTACAGGAATACCAAAGGCACATTGGATTTAACATACTAAATCTCTTTTCACACATGAATCCTGCAAGACTGTTACCTTTAAACATGCATGTAAGGCATTCACACATGAAAAATCCCATGGTAGAGGTTTTTACATTACATGACTAATGAAATTGACATGATTGTTTTGGGAAAGGGGGGCGGTGTGGGCCGACATGGGGCCTTTCTGTGCGGAGTTAGCATGTTCTCCCTGCGCCTGCGTGGGTTCTCTCCGGGTACTCCAGCTTCCTCTCACAGTCCAAAGACAGGCAGTTTAGGTTGATTGGCGACTTTAAATTGCCTGTAGGAGTGTGAGTGTGCGTGGTTATTGAACCTATTCAGGAATAAGCGGTATAGATAATGGATGGATGCTTTTTTTTGTACTTTTAAAAAATGTTTTTGTTCTCATAGAAGTTCTCACTGCTGCAGAACAGAGTTTGAGGATAATGACACACACAAGGTTGAGTTTGTTACTTACTGTAGCAACCACCAGGCAGCCCTGGAGGGACACTTCAGCACCTTCCTATGAGCTCCCCCAGCACCCATTAAGCTGCCCAGTAAATACTCTCATTAGCTTTCTCATCAATTAGATAAGATACTGAATACGGTTTCCTGTTATACACAGCACCATAGTGCCAAAGCTACTTTAAAGGGACGCACCAACAAAATTAATTTTGCTTTTTTTTTTTCTTAAAGCACTGTTCAAGTGTAAGTGATACAAGTCGAAGCTGACTCATTTCAAAATATATTTTAATTTTTAAATGCATGCTGCAGTGACAGTTTATACTGTAATATGAATCAGATGTCACCACATGTAAATTCAGATCAGCACTTTCAGAACCACTGTTCATTAGTGTCAGTTTATGATTCAGACATTTTCACAACATAGTTTTATCTCTGTCACTGTATGTGGCATTGTGGTGTCTTACCTTGGAGAGGAAGCTGATATTGAAACCAAATGTCTGGGCATTCCTTGAGCCAGCATTCATGTAGTTGCCAACCAGCAACACCAGCTCCAGAAGTTTGCTAAAGCCTTCACTCTTTTTCACCTCCTCACAGGCGAATGTCACATTCATGATGTCTGGCCGGATGTTATTCACCTGCTCCTCAAACGTCAGCTTAAACATAATGCCATTGAGACGTGGTCGGAGGAGCTTCACTGAACTCATCTGAGGACAATAAAAATAAATATATGAATAAACATACAACAGAAATAAAAAAAAATATAGGTAGTTGGCATTGTATACAGTATAAACAAATGACCAAAGCCTCAACAATGACCACTGTGGGTATGTTCATGGTGAAGTTAACATTTTCAGCTTGGACCTCACTGCTACTCCACTGCACTTTATCGGTGCACCTGTATTTGTCAGCTCTCCCAGCAATTTCTACAGTGAGTGCAACCCAACATAGCCACCATGTTTTTCCAATGTAGGAAAAAACAATTATTTACAATGGCCAGAAATATCACCAGTGCATTTGTTTTGTTAATACTTACAGAAACCTGCACATTCTTTTAGAGAGGGACATAACCTCCTGAAAAACTGACACTATTTGAATTTAAGTGAAACAAGTGCAATGCTCCACCACAGTTACAGTGCTTTATATCAGCTGATTATTTGTGTGATCCATCTTTAAGAACATATGTATTAAGTAAAGAGGCCAGCGCACTTGTTTCCACATCTATGATGACAATTTATTGGCACAGGGACACAAACAGCTTTGTAAATGTGACGAATAACATGAATTATGTTCATAACAATTGCAAATATATTAAAACCTTATTTTAAGCTGCGAGTTCCTACAATAACTTTTTATAAGATGAGCAAACAAAAACAGAACAAGAAATCCTATATACAGTAGTTACACTACCTTGCCATTATTGTCATTTTGCATCTCTAATATAATTACTGCTACTAGCTTTAATGAACTGAATCTCAACTATCCTCTTTAGCAAATGGGATTAAGCTGTTTTCTGCTTCCCTCCAGACTTTCATATGGATAAAGGAATCTCCCCATAAACAGATTTGCCATAAATAATATAACAGCCTCAATCAATACTTGAAGGGTGAAAAAATGAAGGAAGTTGAGAAAAAATAGCAATGAAAAAGGGAGAGAATAAAAACAAATAGGGTTTTGGCTGTAAAATATGTGGCAAAGCGGCAACCACAGACAAATTTTCCAGATTGCAGCATAATCTGGTGCTTGAAGGCAATCGTCAGATCCAGCCCATAATGTTTCATTGCTGCTGAAATTTATTCATGCGCATGGGCAAGTTGTCTGTCAAACAACCTCCCCTCCCCACACACTAACATTCCCACCCACCATAATTCCCTGCACACACATGTGCATACACACACACACACACACACACACACACACACACATAAGTACATACACTCCCTCTCCCTCACTTGAACTGATCTGTATACAATAAGGAGAAATCGCAATGAAAGCGAGAACAGTGGTGACAGCTCCAGCAGAGAAAAGCATGAACATGACTTATTTCCCAGGGGAACTAAACAGTTCTACATTGAGGAGCTACTTCATCAGTGGGGAGGCATACGATCACAACATTGGTGAGATCACGAGGGAAACTGCCACCCGATGCTTCATTACATCTCCTAAAAGACGTAGGCAAAAAAAAAGCCTTCAGTGAGTTAAAAAAAAAAAAAAAAAAAGTAACTAGGGAGATGAAGTACATGTGCGACCCTTTAGTCTAATTGAACATTTCTTTTGTAAAACTGTCTAATGTACTTCAAAGATCTTGTAACGTTACACTTATAAATAACATTTCTTTTTACAGTCGCCTAAAGTATTGGGTATTCGTTTGGCAAAAGCAGTTAATTAAAATGTAATTACAGCTCTAACTAAGTAGAAAGGTCAGAATAGCTTGATGATGTCTCCCTTCCTTCGGCTACAAGTGATTTACAGTACAACAGTTCAACCCTGCTTACTCAGTTATCCTTAATATAGGACTCAATCCCAGAAAGGCTAATGTGAAAAGGTAAAATGTTTGCATACTTAGTTACAGCTCTAATTACCCGCTAATCATTACACACTGGCCTCATAAATCCTAGTTCCAAGTTTACAAGATGTTACTCAGTGGTGGAAAGTAACTAAGTGCATTTACCCAAGTACTGTACTTAAGTACAGTTTTGAGCTATATGTACTTTGAGTATTTTCATCTTGTGCTACTTCTCACTTTAACTTCGAAACTGTACTTTTTACTCCACTACATTTATTTTATAACTCTAGTTAGTAGTTACATTTCAGAACCAGAACCAACAAAAGTTACAGCATAATCATAAGAATCTATTGATATCCAGTGGAACATTTGCAAGCTACCCAAAGTACTTCAAATTATAAGTGTTATAAGCTAATTAAAACTAGCTCCCACTTTACCAGCTGCAACATTAAATGTGATGTACACAATAATGCATGAGTAATTACATTAGTGTATATGGGTACTCTTATTTTTAGTACTTTAAGCATGTTTTGATGTCAGTACTTGGTACTTTTATTTAAGTGTCATTTTCAATGCAGGACTTTTACTTTATAACAGATTATGTTTACAATGCGGTATTGCTACTTTTACTTAAGTGAGGGATTTGAACACTTCTTCCACTGCTGCCTGCCACATTATTTATCCCACCAGTGCAAGAGATAGAACTTTGGTGTTTATTGCAAATCGATTAGAGGACTTGGATACCAAGTGGTTGACTACAGCTGCACACTTTTCAAAGAACTTCATTACAAACAGGATTCATAGCCTTAGGATATGATTTTATCATGAGGCAACATTGACAGCTGATGTCAAAATATGGCATTCACCGTGTTCTCTATACTGTATCCTAATCAAAAAAGACTGAACTGTTCGTTGCTGGAGTCAGAAGTACTTTTAAATCATAGCCTCTGTCATTTTGAAGATGGGTTACAGTACCAAATTACTGCAACTTTTAGGGATGATCCCTATAAATAATATATTCCTTAATTTCCTGGTCCTAGCTAAACCACTGTTCAAACCTAGCAGCCTTCCACCTCCAAGTCTGAAAATGCAGTGGGCATGTTTGTGAGTTTCTGTGAGGTACTATATGGACACAGACAAAAAAAAAACAGTAATGAAGAAAAGGTAAATTGGATTTCTCAGCTGTGTATGCTTTGACTATAGAAGACTGGGAATATGACTGTGCATTCTGTGTGTTGTCCTGGGGCGATCCAGTAGGCAACAGGAAATTATACTTACCACAATGCCAAACTGCTCTGACTCCACTAGCTCTTCATATTCACCCTTTAGTTCCGCTAGCGCATTCAGCTCTTTCTGCTCTGGCAGGTTCTTTATCAGGTTCTACAAATGGGAGAGCACACACAAACACAGATGAGCACACACAAAAACACACCCAGAGCTACTGTTAATGCAAATCTCATTTTCTGTCCATGTCAGGATAAAAATCACCTCACAGACAAGGATGACAGGGTATCTTACACTGTAGGAGGAGAAAAGAGACTATGCAAGCAAAGTGGGAGTGAGTGAGTTCCTATTTGACTAGCTAAAAGGTTGTAAAAAAAACTTTTTATAGACTCAATCAACCTTTTCATGTATTTATGTTTATTAGGCCAGATTTCAGTCAGAATTTACTGATGATCTGGTAGGAGTGAGCAGATAAGGTCACATAATCACTGCCACTGTTGGCTCCCTGCTCTGACAGTAGTGGTCCTTAGCCAACGAGCAAACATGTCAGAAACCTTCAGATAACTGACCTTCTACTGCATAATCCACATCACCTCGCAGTCTCGTACAAACACATGCACAAGGTTTGTCGTTAATTTGCTACTTTCCTTTTAAATTTCCATTGGAGAAAAAGGAAAAAAGACGATGCTACTAGCAGTGAGGTTGAAGATTAAGGCGGAGATGAGAAAAATAATGGGAGGAGCTGTGTTTTCTGTAAATGTTAATGGTTTGTGTGAAGATCAGCCAAGTTAATAAAACTGACCACAGTGACTTTTCCCCTTTTTCTCAGAGAAGAAGAGGTACCCTTTTCCAGGTCCTCACAAAGCTTCCTTCCTCATTAGCTGCCCAAATGTATTCAGCGGGAGAAGACTGGCACAGGGTCACGTGGCCAGATGGGAACCCAGACAGGGAAAACAGAAAGCAGACACTGCTGCTGGGCCACAAGCCTGGCTGCCCACTCTATAGACCTCAGCAGTCATTGTGGCACCACGGCCAGAGTCTACTGCTCACTAATGAAGACATCTCTGTCCTTCCCTCAGGGAATTGAGTAATATAAAAAGTAAGCCATAATGCAGGCCTGTCATTCCTGTTTGGGAGTGAGCCATTATAACAAATGATGCTTGCTTTTGCTGAAGCCTCAATTAGGGTCAGCGGCAAGCAACGGTGCCTTGATAATGAAGGCTTTTGATCATATCAGCACCAGTATAAAGGAGTGTTGAAGATTTAAAAAAAAAATAACCCCCTAGCACAGAGCTATGATGGTACAAAATCACTCATGACCTTTCAAATATATGTATATACTGACATACATGCACACACACACACACACAGTTGGAAGAAAAAATAATGGCACTGTTTGCAAGTTCCTGGTTTTCTGCATAAATTGGTCATGAAATGTGATCTGATCTTCACCAAAGTGGAGGTAGGGCAGGTCATCTCCTAACCGGAAGATCAGCAGTTCAATTCACAGCTTGTCCAGTCGAAGTGTCCTTGAGCAAGACACTGAACCTCCAGTTGCTTCCGGTGATGACGCCGCTATGTGAGTGCTTGGGAGTGTGAATGGCCAAATACTGTGAAAATGTTTTGAGTGTGCTGCACTATACAAGTATAAGACCATTTAAAGATAAGAAGTTATGGCAATAACTGGTTGAACCACTCTTAGGCAGTAATAACCTCAAGCAAGTGTTTCCTGTAGCTGTGGACTGGACCTGCACAACGCTCAGGAGGAATTTTGGACCATTCTTACTTATTGACACACAAAGTGAACGGTCGGCCGTAGGCCATTGTTGGGCTGCCGGTGAGTGTCTGTCGGGGCTCGTCCTTCTGGTGTGTCCCACACCGTTGGCACTAGTCGGCCTCTCTGGGCAGCCTTTCAGCTGATTCAAGATGTTGAATCAGCGTCGGCGGTTGGGCCTCGTTGGTGAGAGATAGACCACTCTTATTTGGTTGTTCAACTTAGCGAATAAATGCATGAGAAGAAAGCAGTTTGGGAAAGCCTCTTAAGTCTGTTGACATAATATCCGTGATTTCATGATTGATTAGTGCGGTTCCTCGTTTTTCACCTCCATAACCTCCTTACTTCTTCAATAACCAAAAGGCCAAGGGCAGAGAACGGCAGTGTCATGTGAAGCTTCTTTTCAGATATATTCTCAATTAGGAGCAGCTAAAAACAGCAGCTGTTCTGAATGAGAGGTGTTTTGACATAGCTTACACTTCCGCAGCCTAGCTCTTCTTCAGAGGTTGGCCGTCGCTGGTGCTAGTTCTTTCACGTTGGCTTGGTGTGTCTCTGCCCTAACAGACCTTAGCTGCTTAATAAAAAAGTGCTCCTTGACAGTGTAACACTGGTTCAAAGTAAAATGTAAACTACTCACCCATTACAACAGTTTCTGCTACCACTGTGTCAAACCTGATTATTTAGGTTGTTCTTGTCTGGCATTGCTTCCTGAGCACAGATGAAAAATAAGGTGCTATGTTTTCACCCTTACAGTCCCTTTTGATTTGAATTGAGTCTGTTTTGGCAGGGAAAATGGAGGAAAAGTGTTGCTGGCAGAGCTTTTCCTGGTGAATCAGTCCATTTCTAATATTGTAAGTTTCATTCTTTGATGAAGCTGTGCTGTTAATACTTGTCAGTGACTTAAACATGCAGAAATCCATGGTGACAGTATATAAACATATACACATGCAGAGTTAAGACCATTAATGTTAGGTGACATACAAAAACTTCAAAATTCTAGAGCTGAAAACAAATGGGAATAATTAACACAGGAAGCTGAGAAGGTAAGAGAAAATCAAATACACCTTGTGCTTGTCATTTCATTTGTCTGTCATCTTGTTAATTATAAGAAATCCCACAGAGCACAATTGACACAAAGGCAGCACCATACGTGTGGCAATGTGGGAGACTGGGTGATGATGCTGGGCCAGACTGTGCACCACAGGCCACCAGACACACACAGCCGTCTGGGAGAGATTACTGGAAGTATGCTAGCAACACTACATTTACCACCTTGGGTGAAGTTGAAGGCGCTACATATAGCACATGAGCCAAGATACAGCAATGCACTAACAAAAAAACAGCAAAGACCAACAGCAAAATTTGGTTGCTGAGGTAAAGCCTCAAAAATCCTGCTTATTACAGTATCTCCTTGTCTGCAACCATATACATATATTATATATTTGATTGTAGCAAATGGTAAATTACTGGATTACAGAAGGTGTGCATTGGACTACTGAAATAATCAGGCTATCTCACTGTCACTGGCACAACTACAAAGTGAGAAATTTATTTCTTTGAATTGGCCTTCGATTGTACACGTAGCAAGCAACGCCAACACAGGCTTCACAGGTTCTTTAGTTAACAAAAAAAAAAAAAAAGAGTTAAGTACATTGTGTTAACCAACAGAAAATGTCCTCCAAAAGTGTGTGTCAACAAGAAACACATACTGATGGTAAGATACTTGGCAAGATCAAAGTCAAAATGTGCAACCACTTACATGGAATCCTTTTCAGTATTGTGCTCCTTTCAATAGGTAGCTTTTTTCTTTTTCCATTCAATCTGTATGTTCTTCTCTTTCCTCAGAAATGCTCTCAGGCCCCAAAATTCAAATACATACGGCCTTCGTTATGAGAAGCATTATTCCTCTGCTAACTATCTCAATTCTAAAACTTTTGACAGTTCCAGCAGTTTATATTTTTATTCCTCCTGAAAACTGCCTTTTGTATATCCTAGGTCTGATCAATCCTGTGTTCAGTTTGACAAATGAGGATCAATTAATATTTTTCAAGGACAGTAGTAATCTAATAGCACATGCACTAGCACACACCCAACAGCATGCCTGCCTGTCAAAATGCAATGACCTCTGACTTAAATAATAACCACAGCATAGCTTTTTGGCTGTTATTCTACTCTGAAACAGATTAGGATATCATTGCACACAACACTCAATCAATTTATTATAGATTTACTGCCAGTGGGTCAGCTCAAGGACTCCGATAGTCTCACAACACTGTTACTGATGTTTTCCCCTCACATTCACTTGGAATTGTATATGTTTCGGTGCATAAACAGTATACAAAAGTACATGTAGTAAATACTGGTAAAATAATTCCACTAATGCTACCCAGGCTCTGAAATGTCTGCACTTGAGGGAAGGGAAGGGAAACAGTTGTGAGGGTAAAGGAGACTGTAAAAGTAATGAGATACAGGTTACGGTTCACTAAACATTTGTACAGGATGACAGTGTCTGTAGGGCTTTCACTGCCATACTTTGATCTCTGCCGCTGTCAACCAGCTTCCAGTGAATCACTTTGACAGTTTCACAGCATCCGTGAACCCTTGCCAAGTTAATACAGTTTAAAAGGGGGCATTAGGCATGTACTAGGCATAAACTTAACCATACAGTTTACAGCTGTTCATGCTGGTAATAAACAGCAGGTGCCATGTAGTGCAATGTAAAAACAATGGAAAACTTTGATATTCAGAATACAATGAATGTCAGTGATAATGTGCACTTATTTTCACGAGGAACCAAGGATTTATCCTGGACAACACTGATGAAATTGTGTATAAATAGTATACAGTACTTAGTAAAAAAAAACAAACTCTTAGTCATCTTTTTTTATGTTCTACCCCACCTACTTTACAGTCCTCACCTCCTGAAATATACTCAAGGACTCCGAGAGACAAGCATATTCCCAACAGTAATATAAAAATGATAAAGGAGACCAAGAAACTTTAAGATATAGTCTGAAACAAGTCAATCAATAAAACTTTTCTCAAAGCAATAAAGTCTTTAAGCTGGGTTAAATAAAGGAGAAAAGAAGGAGAGTCGCCTGATGCTGTAAAGATGACTTCAGTAAACTGCATTCCTCTCTGGGGACCTGGGAGGTCTACAACAAAGACAGAAGAGGAGATGTGTCTGCCATGTGCTTGACAGATGTGACTTTCTCCTTTTAATTGATTTTCTCATCAATTTTTGGAGGCAGAGAAACATGTGGTATTCTGCCCATGCTTTGTGATGAAGAGCAACGTGGGATTGGCATCTCCCTGCCGTGACACCTCAGCAGGCTCCCTACCCGGCTCATAGCAAATCAGTGACAACTTCAGGTTGAATCAA